AAAAAAAAACCCTTTCCTCTCTTTTGGAACCTTGGTTCTAGTGAAAGGAGATGGACAATAAACATCTATTTTTAAAAAGACAAGTGAGGACCGCAAAAGCGCCTGCCTCGCAAGCGCAAGGTCGTGAGTTCGGTTCCCGGTACCAAAAAAAAAAAAAAAAAAAAAAAAAAAAAAAAACATAACAAACAAAAACAGAGGCCCTTTGCTATTCCAAACGCATTTTTGTAAGATGATATTTTGACTATTCAATAAAACCTGCTAAGGTTTAACCTGGCTTTTTTCTGGCACTGTTTCGAAAGAAGAGGTTTTAAATTGTATAATTGCAGAGTGAAGGCATATTAACAATCTTGTTTATTAGATGGGTGACAAAGTCGTGTTTGTTTCAGTTTTTCAGTGGACTTCTTGTCTGTGCTGCATCTTTTCTCTTAAGCAATGACCTGTGACTGTCATGTTCTCTCCCCTCCTCCTTTCCACAGGAGTGATAGCGGTGGTGATCTTTGTCACCTTCTGCACAGTGGGCGTAATGATCCGCTTCCTGTACCAGCATAAGCAGTCCCACCGCACCAACCAGATGAAGGAAAAGGAGTATCCTGAGAACTTGGACAGCTCCTTCAGGAATGAGATTGACTTGCAAAACACAGTGAGCGAGTGCAAAAGGGAATATTTCATCTGAGAAACTGCAGGGTCACTCAAGAGTCCTTTTGTAATTGTGAACTTTTTCTCCTCTCTCTCCTGTACTTTAATTTTTGTTGTCCTCTTTCTCTTAATCGCTTGTTGTTTGCATCCACCACAGCATTGATCCACTTGACTCAGCTCAGGACACCAGGCGGCTATGGTGACTCCTTCCTCTCTGCCACGTGCACTGTGGTGAAAGTGACCACTCAAGGCACAGACTTTACTGTTTTTCACAAGGAAGAGACACGCGTGCGCACATGGGCACATTCAGCTTTGTGTTCCCGTTCCTCAAATTCACTCCCAGTTTTTCACTCACTCTGTCTCGTGGTCTCACTTTGAGCTTGAGTTTTGTGACATAAGCATTTAACAGCCATCCCTGATATCCCCCAATTCTCAAGTCCATTTGCACCGGGAAATCCAGGGCAGAGCGATACCTACCCTGCAGGCCTGGCTCACTTTGGTAGCATTTTATGAAGCACAAGACAGGTGCGTTTCTTTTGATCTCATTTCTTTACTGCAAGCAGCTCTTTGCCCCAACTCATCCACTGTTTGTTTTTTGTTTTTTTTATTTACTATGACTTTTACCACCTGGGTATTTTCAAATATAGGCTTGTAATAGTAGCAACCAATTACTTTGCTCTTTTCTTACTACTGTCTCCTGGCGCCAACACTGTAGACCAGCACACAATAGCATCAACCTAGGGGAAGCATTGAATAGTAGCTTGAAGATAAGGGGTAAAGAAAGCTGCTAGGAAGTAGATGTTCCCTAACTTCAAAATAGCCTTCCTCCAATTTTCTAACATATAATAGCTAGGTTATTCTTGGGATTATTATACTGAGGTAAAAAATAAGTATAGACATATACTTGTAAGTTGCTGCAGGGTAAATACATTTAAATAAAAATCTAAAATAGTTTCTGGTTCCATGAAAAGGCTTAAATCCTCTGAACTCAGCTTATAATAAAATGAAAAAAGAACTTCATGAAGAAAGAGAAGCACTAAACAGATTTCTTCCCTTCCATCCACTCAGGGGAGATCTAGTAAAGAAAGTGAATATGAATTTGCAGGCTTCACATTTTAGAACAGACAGGGTGAATCAACTTGTATCCATAGCTGTTGTCTAAGAGTTTCAGGAGCCTCTGATATATGTGATACGATGGTCACCTCCAGCTGACCCACTGCTTGATTTTAGAGAAGCCCTTAGATTCTCATATCACATTTTCAAATCTGTTACATGGTGAGTGTGTAAAAGTAGCCATTTTACACATCGTTTTCGTTAGACTTGCTTTCCCAGGTGAGGTGGTAGGAAAAGCTCATGCTCTTTGTCCCTTTTGATGGCAGAAGTGTGGGATTCATTGTTCCCAAAAGGCCTCTGGTGTTTCCCTGTGGGTGGTAGCAGGAACTCTGGTGATTTTGTTGTCCAATAAGCCTGATTTTGCCCCTCACCACTTTGGATAAAAAAAAAGATCAGGGGAAAATAGTATGAATGTTCCAAAGTGCTGGAAATTTCAACAGAATAATCTACAGATGTAGAAGTACTCAGTGATTCTCTTTACAAAGTAGATTTTCAGAGCGATTACATCACTGTTAGCCAGCCATGGCAGCTGACCAGTGCCGTTCACCTTGCTGTTAACATTGCTCTCCCCTCTGACTCCGACTTGCCCTGGATGAGGAGGCTCACGGGGAGAAACCTACTAGCTCCATTCCATTTCTTCCAGTTACAGAGCTTGTGACATGAGGATTGAGTTGGTTACTGCATTTCTTAATTCTAAAATTTCTAAATACACATTCTTTCCTGAAAATTTGCTGTGGATTCTCAGTCACTCCATCCTTTGGGATATAATTATCCTTTTCTAGTAAATTTATTTTCAACTGACTCTAGCAAGAATCCATTTTTAAAATTTTTCTACTTTACTAAGATGAATGACTGCATAGCAAATCTCTTTATATATGGCGTCCCCTTGCCCTTTCTTGCCCTTTCCCAGTTTTCACTTTTGAATTTTCTATTTCTATAAAAAGGCTGCGATAAGTCAGCTTTTTGTTAGGCTACATATTCCTTTGGCACATGAAATAAAAGTCACCATGAAATGTAGTGTGTTTAGCCCAAAACATCTCCATTAATGAAATGGAACAGAAAAAGAAAGTATGAGTAGTAAAATTGGAACATTTCCTTATTCAAGTTTCTGAGAAGCCATGGCCATATTTTGCCGACATGGTGCTGATAGCAGAATGGGAGGACTAGTAAAGGCCTCTCAGAGAATTTGCTGTCTCATCTACTCATAGATTCTTGGAGAGATTCCTGTTGGGAGGAGGATTTGGGGAAGCTGCACACTTCCCAGGTCCTCACCACAGACTACACCAGTGTCCTCTCTGCTTATGCAGACTGCACCCACAAGCTCACTACGCCTGAGAATCCCAAGACAGTGCAGTCTGCATCTCACTGTTGTACTTGGTCTCAGGGCTAAATCTGAATTATCTTCACAGGGTTAGGTTATGCCACAACCCAGAAAACACTATGACTTTTATGAGATATATTTGAAAAGCAAGTAAGCTGCACCTTCTAAACAAAACACACCTAAAATGGGAAATAAGTGCTCATTCTGCATGTTTTTCCTCAGCAGTACCATGATCTATTTAGTTTTATGTAATTATTTGATTGTGTGTTTCCATGATCAAGAAACCATAATCTACAACTATATTTTGAGACCATTTGAATCCTTTAGTAACCTTTTTTCTCCATGGTATTCAAATGTCCTGACTGCATGTTCCTGGACCATGTAGACCTCCATAATCTCCTCCTCTTTAACACTCAGGCTCTGGTAACTGCTATTTACAAAAAAATATGGAAAATGATCACTTTACAGTAAAACCAAAAATACCTGTTGTTCAATTTCACATTCTAAGGGAGCTGTTTCATTAATATTATTTCCACTAAACAGATCAATTTATACAAGTGACAGTGTATTTGTGTACCCTAAAATATATTTTATATTGACTACATCATTCATTGTGTCTATAGGCCAGCTTGCCATGATTTCTATGAGAATTCATCTAGAGAAATAGATACTTGTCATTTCTCTAGATATATTTTTATGAATAGTTTACCCTCTTCTGTTTAGTCTCAACTACGCATTGGAGATTTATTTTAAGGATCTTGTGGCTAATATTTTAAAGTGATTTTTGTTCTCTTTAGTAACAACAGAGGTGGTATTAACCTGACTTTTGCTTTCTGTCACAATCATGCCCACTGTGGTGGACAAAATGAATAGACTGTTCTGTTCCTTCTGTGTTTGTTCATCAAATATATACTGACTGCCCACTACTCCAACAGTTGTCTTGGGCACTGGGTATATAGATAGAAACTATACCTTGGTCTTGCCCTTGAGAAATTTAAAGTCTAGCACAAGACATTCATACTGTTGTAGCAGTAGTGGACATAAAATGCTATGGAACACAGAGCTGACATCCTCCAAAATATTTTATACAGTACTTGCTGGAGACTTCATGAAACCAACAAATTTGTGGATAATACATATAATTTTATACTTAATTTATTACTTCCACCTCTAATGAACTATTTTGTTTCTTCTCTTCAAAACATATCTATCTATGAATATATATTTCTATAGAAGGAAGTGAATTGTTTGTTGGGACAGCAAGAATAAATGGCCTTTCCCTCGGACATAGTTTGAAGGAAGCTGAATTCTGTAACTTCCTGCTTCAGTTCTTGCTGGTAAATTTTAAGACTTCCTTCTCCTGCATCTGACCTAAGTGAGGTCTTGGGATTCTATCTGAGATTCATACTATCAGACTGTTTCTGCATCCCTTCTATTTTTTTCAGTTCTTTTGTTGACCCATTTATGTGATTACATGCCACTGTCTCTCTGGATGATCCTAAGGAGGCTTGTGGTAGTCCAGCACTTGCTCCAGTCTTCCTTAGACCTGCTGAGTCATCTTAAGGAAATCTCTGAGAACAAGATGAGTCTATCCTTGAGAGAATGACTGCCTAAAAATGTTGTTCACTTAAATGAGATCTTCGTTCTATGCCTGTCGTGAACCTTCCAATCCTGACGTTCATGCATGCCCCTTTCGGCACCGCATTAATTCAGTTAGAACACTTGCACTGGGAAGGTACACAGTATCTTCTCCAAGATATTCAGGGATATAGGAATCATGCTTTGTGAATCCTTTGTTAGACAAAGTTTGACAGTGTGTCCCCTGTCTTCCTTGGTTTCTTTTGAAGTTCCCCAATGCTATAATCCATCAAGCATTTATTACAACACCAGCCTGTAAAAAGCTTTTGGAGGTACCTGTATCACTCTACCACTCATTCTTCCTTAAGCTAAAGGCTCGGCTAAACTTAGTCCTCAATTTCCTGCAGGCCAGTTGTAGATGAAATAAATTGATAAGATCAGTGTTCCTGAAAATGGCAAAGGAGATTCCTAGAAGATGGTACAGGAGATAACTTTGGGAATACTTGGAGGATAACTGAGTGTTCTTTCATATCTCTTACAAAATGTGAACATATTTCCTTTAAAAGCACACACTATAACTGAGTTACTTCAATCATCTGTTCTTGGATTGTTTCTTAATCTGTACTCCTATCCACTCACCCACTCTTACTTGTGAAGCCATCAAGTTTGCAGATTTTAGTTGTTTGTAGTTCTCATCTTTGTGTTCACAAAGTCCAAATAATTAAACCACCTAGAGGGGAAAAGTAAAACACACACACACACACACACACACACACACACACACACACACGAGAGAGAGACAGTAAAAGTAAGGTTCTTAACCCAAGCATTTCCCGGGAGTTTACACACATGTCTGTTCAGTAGGGACAGAAACATTCCCACTTTGTATTTTGGTTTGACTATTATTTGAATTCTTCATATAAAGTTTTAATAATTACCTGTTTTGGTATTTTCGAGTGGTTTTTTTCCTTTTACTTTGTAGTAAGGTACTCTGAGGAAGTATAGAAAAGCGCATTTTCCAGTGAAACATTGTATTTGTAAGTGGGCTGTCTTGTCTTTTGTAAAGTTTAGGGCTTACAAAGTTACTGAACTGAAAGGAGCACAGGTTAAGGTTTTAGAATTTGGAGCAGACCTGCTAGCAACACGTCCAGGAGAGAGAGGGGACTCATTGCAGCAGTCAGTGGCTGTCGGAGACAATGCTCACAGCATAAATTCACAGTGATTTCTCTTCTCACTTTTCTGGCTCCTAACTCAGGAGTATCTTATGGATTTGGACCATTGTTCCACACATGAGGGAAGAGGCAATATCATGGGCTTTACTTGTGGAATGCTCTACTCACTGTGGGTGCCATTTTGATCCTTCCAAGCCCTACTCCAATGACTTTTTTTTCAATATTTCTACTTCAGTAGGATTTTTCCAGGGTGCTTCAGGACTGTCACCACTAACTGTCACCAAGTATTTAAACTGCCCAGGAGAAGCACCTAATAGAAATTTAAGGAAAATAAACTATCAAAAACTACTTAAGTCTACAGTCCTGAATAAGAATGCCCCTGGGTAGAAACCCTGTGATCCTGGAGTCAATCTAATATGTTTTTCTGTATCCTTCCATGGTCCTTCCACCCACTGCACAAGTCATAATGATAAGACAAAATGCTCTCCAGCCTTCACATTGCATGCTCCGGCCTGCCAACTTATTACCTTACCTGGAAACTAGATGTTTCACTCAATTCTTCCCAGTGACACAGGAAAATTCTTTCCAAAATAACATGATTAAACTAGGGGAATAGTCCTATGTCATTGACCAAAAGTTATACAAACTGATTAGTGCTTACAGCCTCTTCTTACATTCATTAGTATCATAGAGTACTGATCCCAGTAGTAGCCACACAGGGCATGGTAAAATGCTCTGGACGTGTAGATGGAGCACTGCATTGTCCTGTGGCCTCTTTGAAAGGTGTCCAACAAATAGTAACATTCAGTACAACTTTGTGGGATATGCATGGACATCTGCCTAATCATCCTTTTACACTATAATCAAGTCCTATTCCAAAGGTTTTACATGAGCTATTAACATAGTCTCTTCTCTTTGAGAGGCAGCATTGAAGTATAAACTTGTTCTGCCTTAAATATTCTTGCAAAAAATACCAAACCTTGCTTAAAGTAATATCTTCATATTGTGAGAGGGACTTTGCGTTTGGTGAAGACTGGGATCAAGAACTTTTGTCTTCTCCATCTGGCAAGTTGATAGGCAATCTGATCTCCCATAGTGTCCTGAGCAGACACTTCTGCTGGCCAACTAGCCTAGGACCAGAAATCGGCTGTATATAAATGAAGGAACATGGTCATATTCCAGTAAAACCTTGCTTATTAAAACAGGAAACAATTCAAATTTAGTTCATGGAATGTAACTTCTCAGTCCTGAAAATAGAACATTATAGTGTCTGTTTCAAATGAGAAACTGGTCTCCTTCTGATATGTTTGGGTCCTTCTTTTCTGAGGAATGAGAGGGCAAGGCAAATTAGTTCTAAGTAAATAATCAACATGCCCCCCAAATATATATATACATAAATATGTATATGCAGTGAAAGCACAAAACAGCAAAACAGGCCATCTCCTTTGTGGATCTGCTGGAGTCTCCCTTTGGATTTTCTAATTTTTGTTCCTATAACAGAAACCCAAGTGATGTTGCCTCATTCCAAGTCGGTTTTGTAGGTCACATAACATGTCTTAATACACTGTATGGGAAAAATTAAAGCTAGCCTTAGATTTCTTTGTTTTCTATGGTTATTGTTGTACAGAGGAAAGACTTAAACTGTAAATACTGTATATTTAATAAAGAGAGACTTTTGTATGATTTTGTGTGGAAGACAAATGCGTCTGGCTGTGTTGTTTTGGATTAATGAAACAGTCAAACAATTAATCACTGATCTCCATTTTTTTCCTTAGTCCATTAACTTCCATACAATATGACCTGTGGGTTTCCTGGAGAAACGTGAAACTCTTACTCCCTGAGTTTATTGATTCTGACATAGCTAAAGTGCTGTCCTGGGCCCTCTCATCACTCAGATGAGTTATCCTAGGCTACACTTCTGGCTCAGAAGTGTACAAGAGCAAGTTCTTTGATGCGGTGAGAAGTCAAGTTCAGGGTTCTGGAACCAGTTGGCTTTAGCCTTCTACAGGAACCCTGCAGCAAGCCATAATCAGAAACCACAACAGTAACACCTCTTATCTCACCTGGCCAATGCCTTCTTCCCAGGGAGAAGTCTGACCCGCACTGACTCTATGTGTGTGAAAGTCCAAACATAGACTGCTATGCAGCAGAACCTACTTCATGTGTTGTTTGTTAAGACTTTTATCCATGAGCATTTGGTGAACAAACAGAAATAAAAAACTGCTAGGGATTTTGCACAGAGGAGTTAACTATCAGATGTACTTTCTGAAAAACCGTCCAGTGGACCATCGAGGAACAGGAAGGGAGGAGAGAGAACAGTTAGAGCCATTTCAGAAACCTGGGAAGGTGACACTGGCTTAGACCAGGACTGTAGTAATAGTAGATATTAGAAAACTAGCTCAGTTCAGATACAGTCAAAGGGACCAGCTAATGAATTGGAAAGTGACTATGAAAGAGAGGACAGAATTAGTTAGATTAGATTTTTGGTTTATACAATGAATGGATGGTAGCAGAATTTTGATTTTCTTTTGGGAAATGGTAGCTAAAAAAGTGAGAAAGAGAGATGTGGAGACTGAGATTCTGAGATTATGTCAAATTCCAAATAAGCATTAAATGTAGATGACAGACAGATGGCAGATCAGGAGCAGTCTGGTCTGCAGAACACTTGGGAAATACATGCATATGTATATGGATAGCTGTGTGTAGGTATAGAAACTTGTTTGGATAGGAATTTCTAAGTAGAAGTTAGAGCTGGGAGCATCGGGTTGACTGAAGAGTAAACACTGGACAAATGGCCTTAGAAGTGTCCATGGAAGAATGGAATGAATTATGTAATTTGGAAACCAGAAACTAAAATGTTTCATAAGAAGAAAGTGCAGAATCATTAAAAGCTGAGAAACTGAGACAGGGATAGGTAAATGTCAGTGGTTTTGGTGAACTTAGGACACCAGTTACCCTCCTTAGAGCTGCTAAATGAGAATGTACAAAAGAATATGATTTAGAAAGAACTGAAAGTGTAGAGAAGCTAGAGAGGTCCACATAATGAGGCTCAACTCCATAGAATATTGGAAGGACGCACAGACATTGGAGCCAGGGAAATCAGAGTTCAAATTCCATAAAAATCTCATGCCCAAATGTGAAATAAATTAACCACTGTGATCCTTAGTTTTGCAAATGAAAATTAGGAATCCAAACCTAAACAAAGCTTTTATAATGAGGAAAAGCAAAGCAAACAATGCATGCAAACCACATGTCACTAGGACCTCCACATTACTTACATCTTTATCACCGTCTTACTCATCTTCTTAAATTTATTTTGTGAAGAGGTAAAACAGCTTAATCACTTTCTAATTTATAAACATGAAGGGCACGTATCACAAGAATCAAACTGAGAGAGGTGGAGACAAGGGAACAGAATTCCCTTCAGCCCAGGGACTCAGTTGTTATCCGTGAGTGAATTAAGCTGGAAATAAGTTTCAATTCTAGTTTTGCCTCTGCTATAGAGTTGTGGCCTTGAATAAATTATCTGCAGATAAACAGTGGTGAGCTTTTGAGTTGTGCCCTCTGAAACCATGAAAAGATATAATTCAAAAAAATCAATTATCTTAAAAGAATATATACCGTAATTTGTAATCTCAGAGAAATTGACCTTATAGACTCTGTTTAGACAGGCATGACTTCAGATTCCAGATGTTCCAATTAGTAGCTGAGAGGCAGTAAGTAAATAATTCCCTTCTCATCTCTGAAATTTCTCACCATGCAAATGATTTTAAGATAATACTCTCATACTCAATAAAAGTATTAATTTCCCTTCCAGTCTCTTAGTGAGCTCAGTTGAGTAACACAACATAATCATAGAGTAAAATGCAAAGCCAGCAGAGCACTGTGTTAAACTGAGTCTTTCTTTTCACATCTGTATTAGATTTAAGCCTACGAACTACAGGAGGAAATACAGCTTAGAACAAGCAGGTATATAATGTGTGGGAGGGTACATGCCATTTTTAAACATTTAAAATTTTGAACTATGCCTCAGTCCCAGGCTGCTGTAACAAATTACCAAAACTAAGCAGTATGTGAGTAATAGATGTTAGTGCTTAAAGCCATGGAAGCTCAAAGTTCCCTAAAGTTTCTCCAATACAGGCAGGTCTGAACACAGTCCCATTTGGGGTTTCAGGAGCCACTTTCTCATTGTGTCCTCCAATGGTACAAAGAGGGAGGGAGCCCTGGAGTTCCTTTCCTAAGAGCTGTACCCTATGACTTCATCATCTCCTTAGATCCCACCTACTAACACTGACACCTTGGTGGTTAGGATTTCGACAAAGGAGTTTTGTGCACATTTAGTACGTTGCAAACTAACTAGGAATTTATTTTATTATTTATGATGATTTAAAAAGAAGGAAGTTCTCTGAACCAAAATTTGATCAGGTAGACAACTTCACAGCACCTGCTCATCTGAGCCAGAGGCCAGGCCTAAAGGCTTGTTCCATGCACTGGATCTGCGGCTTATCTCGGTCCATTGCCAACATTCCAGGGCTTCTATAACCCAAGTCATGAATGCAGATCCATCTCTGGGGAGAAAACATGAGTGCTAATGACAGCCCTGCCTTGGTGAAAAGGTGAATCCAGTTTAGCTGCGTCCTCCAAGGAGCTCCCAGTGCGCAATGTGGGCTCGGAGAATTCCAGCCTATCTACCTTTCACCAGTAGGGGAGGAGATACTACCTACTGGGAGCGCAAAGGATGATGGTGAAAGGTCAGGCAGAGCAGCTCTCTCCCCTGACAACTTGTCCTCATCTCTAGGGATCCTTCATTATGTGTGAAGCTCGTATTTAAGGAATAAGAGAGAACTACGGGAGGGCAGACCTGATTCAGATGTTATTTGTATGTATGAAAGTGTTACAATGCAACTCACAACTCTGTATAATCAATATGCACATGCAGGGGCTTTATGTGCATGAAGTACTCACATGTCAAAGTCTTAACAGTGAGAAGCAGAGTGATCGTTACGTGGGCTAGGAGACAAGGACAATGGAACGTTGATGACTGCAGGGTTCAGTTTGGAACGAAGAGAATCCTGGACACAGATGATGCCGGTTGGAGGTTGCTCAGTGTGTCGTACACTGTTGAACTGGACAGTTAAATCTGGAAAATTTTGTTATGTGCTTTGTACCATAATCAAAAATTGTATAAAAAAAGAAAGATTGGTTTTATGAAGAGAAATGAAATAAATCAAATATTGCCATCAATGTGTAATAATAATAGAGTAATGAACAATTTCTAGTGGATCTATTTTTTGTCCTGCATGTTACATAGCACATAATACTATCATAATAAAAACATAACAGAGGTGGGTTTTCTTCCAGTTTTTAGATAAGGGTATTCAGCCCGTGGAACTTAATTTGCTAAAAGAATTTCAAACTTTGGTGTCATAAACACTGGGATGTAAAATCTATTCTGTTAATTATTATCTATGTGATTATGGGCAAGGCTTTTACCCCGTGACTCATTTTCTCACCTACAGAAAAGGAATAAATCTCCCATTTCCCAGAACCACATAGCTGTCTAGAGAAGGAGTGGACCAGTAACCCATTCTGTCCTCAGACACACCCAGCTATACCTGCTTGCTTGGAGCTAATTCAACTAATGCCTTTGGTACAGTGGTGTAACTAATCTACCTCAGACTTCTGCTTAGCAATATGGACAGGAAACCTCCTTCTAAGAAGGAAAACAGGTGCTAAAGAGAATAAGTGAAATATATCAAACTCACATTGTAAATATCATATTATCTCCCTGGTGTGAGAAACTGAAAGAGTAAATAAGTACCAAAATGTACATTAGATATTATAAAATGGAAAGAAATTTTTCAAAAAAAAAAGAGGAACTGGGAAAGGGGAAAGGGAAAAGGAAGGGAGGGAAAAGTAAAAAAAGAATCTTACAAAAAGATAAAATAGAAACACAGCTTTGTAAATAGAGAGGGGGAAGAGGGTTTGGTGGAAGGAGAGGTGATGGGGAATCAAAATATATCACGTACAGATGCAAATGCCCAATGATGAATATGCTCATTGTGTATATCTAAAATGTGCTAATAGACTTAATTCTTTAAAACAGCACTAAATGCATCAAACTGCCTAAGCCAGTTCAGGAGCACCTGAGTGCATACATGTAGACAGTTTCTGTATTGTTTCATCAGACATGGAAAAGCTTCTTTGTATCTGTCATCCCTTAGGATTTATAAGGAGACTTTAAAGTGTTACTACACACTGAACAGTCTTAATCCAAACTCGAAAATTTAAAATGCTCCAAAATTTAAAATTTGGGAGACCCCAACAAAGTACAATTATACCTGACTTAGTGTGAAGGTCACAGTGAAAATGCTAATGCACTAAAATATAGTGTAAAATTACCTTTAGGATTGTGTTTAGTGTTTAGTGATTAGTGTTTAGGATGTATAAGAAATATAAATAATTCTATGTTTAGACCTCGGTCCCATTCCCAAGATATCTCACTATATATATGAAAAATACTATAAAATCTGATAATTCAACATCCAAAGACTTCTCATCCCAGGAATAGCAAACAAGGGATATTCAGCCCATATTATAATGTGCAATGTCATCTCTATTTTACATTCTCTGACACAATTATTAATTTCCTCACAATTCCCTCACTCATTCAACAAGTATTCACCTGCTCTTGACC